CCACTAGAATAGGATTTTGTCATTTCAGTCAAATTAATTTGCACCCAGAATACAAAGTCCTTCCATCCAGATTATTTCCACTTCCACTTCATTTTTTCATCAACTGAGAATACATCCCTCCTCCTCCAGAACCCCAAACTAAGAATTCAAGCATATCATCTCCAAAGGTGCATTTTGAAAACGAGGGTTGGACTTGTCTGGTGGTCCAGTGATTGAGAGTCTGCCTGCCAATGCAGGGAACAGGGGTTCAATCCCTGGTCCAGGAAGATTCCACATGCCTCGGGGCAACTAAGCCCATGTGCCACAACTACTGACACCCAAGAGCCTAGAGCCCATGTTCCACAACAAGAGAAGCCACCGCAATGAGAAGCCTTCGCACAGCATCTAGACAGTACGCTCATCACAACTGGAGAAAGTCCACACACGGCAACAAAGACCCAGGGTTGCCAAAAATAAATAAATAAATAAATTTTAAAAGGAAAGAAAACAAGGGCTGTCCAAATGCCAGGGAACAAGTTCTCTGAAGCTCCATCTCTCACTTGACCCAAGATGAGCGAACAGCACACTCTCCAAAGAAATTCTCCCTCTCTCCCTCTGCAACCTCATGACACTTTGATAACTTCCAGGTGACATGTTAAGTTCTACAGAATGGACTAGATTCCGGGAGACACTCAACACCTGTTGTCAGACTTTAAAGCCTCAGCCAAAATTGGAGTCACCTTTTAGCAACCTGTTATGGATCTCTATGTACTTAGAGTCTTGTAGAATGGGGATGTATGAGATGTATGGAGAAAAACAGTGAAGGATACACCCCAGGGTGGAATCATAGCCTCTCCATTGGGAGTTTACTCTGTCTATCTCTTAACTAGAATGAAAACTTCAAGAGGTAAGGAGGGAAAAGGAGAGGTCAAAGGTGAGGTAAGGGGAGCCAAAGTATTCATTGCTCAGTTGTGTCCAACTCTTTTTGACTCCATGGACTACAGCCCACCAGGCTCCCCCGTCCATGGGATTTCCCAGGCAAGAATACTGGAGTGGGTTTCCATTTCCTTCTCTAGGGGATCTTCCTGACCCAGGGATCAAACCCAGGTCTCCTTCACTGCAGGCGGATTCTTTACCATCTGAGACACCAGGGAAGCCCAAGGGAGCCAAACAAAGAAAGAAATTACCCCAAATGAAAAGAAACACATGATCACATTTAGCCATTTTTGTAAAACTATATGTGTGCGTGTGCTCACATGTTCAAAGATATTAAGTGAAAAGTAGCTTTAAAAAATGATCTATGAAAAAAAAAAGTGATCTATGACTGTCACTGCATCTCATGGTCAATTCTTCACCTTCCCTGACTTCCCTGGATCTCTCGGCAGCATCTGATAACATGGATCACTTCCTGTCTTGCAACACGGTCCTGACGTGGCTTGCATGATGGCGAACCCTCCTAGTTTTCTTCCTACCTCTCTGGACATTCTTTTTCAGCTTTCTTTGCTAGATTCTCCTCTAAATAGCAGAGTGTCCCAGGGCACTCTCTGTCTACACTTATCTTCTCTACCGACACTTGCCCCCTACTTGTTCTCATCCAGCCCGTGGCTTCAATGGCATTCCACATGCTGACTGATATCTCATCCAGATTCGAGCTCCAATCCTCACCTCACCCATCAGGTACAGAATCTTATTTCGCATTTTTCCCTCAACAACTAATGGGCATCTCAAAACTAACACAACCGAAACAGAACTTTTAATCTCCCACCACAAATCCTCCCCCAGCCTTCCCAAGTCTAGAAATGGCACATTAGTCACACAACCATGAGTCAATGTCCTGGGACTCATTCTTAACTCCTCTTTTCCTGACATCTAATCTATCAGCAGCTCCTGTTAGTTCTACCTTCAAAATGTGTCACAGATTCAACCACCACTGCTACCCTAGCCAAACCACCATCATCTCGCTCTTAAGCTACCTGAATACCCTCCTAATTGTCATGTGTTTGGTCACATTTGACCCCTCTGCTCCACACGGCAGCCAGTGATCACTTTTAAAACATAAATCAGATCATGTCAATCCACTGCTCAGAATCCTCCATGATGACTTTTTGGCTGGCCAGTTTCCTAGCCAATACCAAGCCCATATCCCCATGCCCACCCTCACTCCCATTCTGTGCCCCACTTCTTGGGAAGAGAAATGTGCAAAGCTGCAACCTCTATTTCCCAGTTTCCTTTGCAGTGAGGGAGGCCATGTGACACAGTTCTGACCAATGAGACATGAGAAATTACTGGATAGGGATTCTAAGGAAGCCACTATTTTCCTTAGAAAAGCAGAGTCTGTTGTCCTTTGTATTTTTTAAAAAAGTTCATTTGGCTTTAACTTTTTCTGATATGTACACACCGCTGTATCTGTTTTCTATTTATTTATTTATTTTTAGCTGCACTGGGTCTTCGATGCTGCACGTGGGCTTTCTCTAGTTGCAGAGAGCAGGGTCTACTCTCTAGTTGCGGTGCTCGGGCTTCTCTGGTTGTGGAGCGCAGGCTCTAGGTGCATGGGTTTCAGTAGTTGCAGCACTGAAGTAGTTGCAGGCTCAGTAGTTGCAATGTGCTGACTCCAGGGCACATGGGCTTCAGTAGTTGTGACTCACGGGCTCAATAGTTGGGGCTCAAGGGCCTAGTTGCTCCAAGGCATGTGGGATCCTCCTGGACCAGAAAGTGATCCCCCGTCCCCTGCATTGCAGGCAGATTCCCATCCACTGCGATACACAGGGAAGTTCCACTTTGTATCTTTCGACCTTTGCTCTTCTCCTTTGTTCCTGCCTAGAAAGCAGATACACAATAGGAGAGCAGCCACAACAAAGATGTCAGGAAAGTAAGGAGAAGGCAGCTGCCTCAGCCCCTGTATGCCCAGCCCTGGACTCCTGGTTATGTGAGAAAATAATAAATCCCTTATTTGGTTAAGTCGCTGTGGTGAAGTTTCTATGACACGGAGCCAAATACAACCCTGGCGCAGGCTTCCAATCACCCTTAGGATGAATTCCCAAAGCCTGACATGGTCTCTCCAAAAGCATCTTCTACCACTCTCCCCTTATTTCTTCCTGCACCGGGGTTCCAGCCGGGTTCCTGGCTATTTTTGGAACATGCCAAGTCTATTTCCACCTCTGTGGCTTTGCCCTTGTTCTTCTGCTGGAGTGTTCTTACCCTAGATCTTTCACATGCTTCGTTTGAGACATCTCTTCACCCAGTCTTCTGCTCTAATGTCACCTCTGCACCAAGGTCTTGCCTTAACTACTCCATCCAAAACTGGCTCCTTCACACACTTTAACTCCTTTGTTGTTGTTGTTGAGTTGCTACACCGTGTCCGACTGTTTGCAACCCCATGGACTGTAGCATGCCAGGCTTCTCTGTCCATGGGATTTCCCAGATAAGAATACTGGAGTGGGTTGCCATTTCCTCCTCCAGGGGATCTTTCCGACCCAGGGATCGAACCCATGTCTCCTGCATCTCCTGCTTGGCAGGCAGATTCTTTATCACTGAGCCACACTTGGAAAATTTAACTCTTTAGTGATTTATTTTTATTCATAGCACTTGTTAATATCTAAAATTGTCTCTGAGAGCAGACAGTTTTGTTTTACTTGATATCCGTCTACTCCACTGGAATCAAAGCTTCAAGAGGTACCAGCACATCCCCAGTATCTAGAAGAAGACAGTAGGTATTCAAAATATATTTACTGAATGACATCTTTTTGAGTTCTTTTTTCTTTTCTTTCCAGTTGTAGTACCTGGGATCTTCGATCTTCCTGTTGGCATGTGGAATCTTTAGCTGATCTTTAGTTGCAGCATGTGGGATCCAACTGTTGGGCCAGGGATGGAACCCAGGCCCCTGCCTTGAGAGCATGGAATCTTAGCCACTGGACCAAAACTTATTTTGGTTTTATTGTTGTTGTTGTCATACTATTAACAGCAGTTTCGGGGGACTAGCATATTTTGTATTGATGCTCTCCACATATAGACACAATTTCATGGCCTCACTCAAAATTATGGAGGGCTCTGTAATTTAAAACTGACCTAAGGGGCTTCCCTAGTAGCTAAGTGGTAAAGACTTCACCTGCCAATGCAGGAGACCTGGGTTCAATCCCTGAACTGAGAAGACCCCATATGCAGCCCAGCAACTAAGCCCTGAGCTCCACAACTATTGAGCCTGTGCTCTAGAGTCTTGGAGCTGAAAACTACTAAAGCGGAGACCCTAGAGCCTATGTTTCATGATAAGAAGAGCCATCCCACTGCAAGGCAGAGTAAGTAGCCCCTGTTCACAGCAAGGAGAGGAAAGACCGCGCAGGAACAAAGACCCAGCACAGACAAAAATAAAATGACCTAAAATAAACCCAATGGAGCAACAATGCCTTTCGACCCCTGCGCTATCAGTAAGTCAGGCCAGGGCCTTTTGGTTTCTCCCAAATCATCCAAATGACAGTGACTGGACCCTTGCAGAGATTCGTTTTTTCCCTGACCTTTCCTAGACTGGGCTAGGGATATGATAAATCCGTTCTCAACATGGACAGTATCATGCCAGAGCGATACAGGCGTCAGATACCTGGTTCCAACCCCACCTCACCAGCAACTTGACCCGTTTGAGCTCTGGGGGTTACAAGGAGGAATAAAGGAGATCGGGGACCTGCAGTCGATCTCCTCCCCACAAAGAGAGGTCAGACTCGCAAGCTCAACGGACTTCCCCACTCAGAAGCGAATCTGCATCCGGATTTTCTGCTTCTCTTCTACCTTCTTGCCTTGCTGCCCACTTCTAACCCAAAGCCCACGCCTCGCATCACGTCGGCGGCATACCACCCCAGAGCCCGCTGGGAGCCCGGCCCCCCGGTCCCCGGCAAGAACCCGCCCACTCCCGTCGGCCCCCGCGGCCGCTCCCGTCTCCTTGGGAACGAAGGTAGCCAACCCGCGAGGTGACTTCCGCTCCGCCCAGACTACGGCTCGGGCTCGAGCGGCGCCTGAGTGGGCCCCGGAAAGAGATGCTGAAGGCGAAGATCCTCTTTGTGGGGCCCTGCGAGGTGAGGCCGGGGCCGGCGGTGCGGCAAGCAGGGCCGGGGGCGGGGGGGTGGCGGGCACGGGGTGGCCCCCGGGGTTGTGCCTGGCACCCGGAGCCCCCCAGGAGCTGGGAGCCCATGCCCACCGCCCCCACCCTGGTGTGTGCTGCTGGCTTCACCAGGAATTCGGCGTTCCCAGACCTTGACCCTGTTGGACTGAGGCCCACAGGCCCATGGTAGTGAGTGGCGTTTGTGATCAGAGCCAAGATCTCACGACTTGGCTTTGTGCCTGTGGCTTTCCCTAATGAAATGCATCAGCGGAGCAAGAAAACCTGGAGGAAGGACTGAACTATTACCTGGTCTTGGAACAATTAGCCTTTAACGTGGGTGGTGATGGCGGGGTTTAAATCTATGTGTAGGTCACGTCGTACACAAGAATAAAATTAAGATGGACTGAAACGCTAAATGTGTAAAACAACTATGGAAGTTGTAAATAAATAACTCTCCAACTTCAGCACCCATCAAAATTGCCTGGTAGGCCTGTTACAAGTACAACTTGCTGATCCTATCCCAGAGTTTTGATTCAGTAGGTCTGGGAGGGACTTGAGAATTTGTATTTTGTCCATGCTGGTTGTCAAGGGACCACTCGCTGGGAACCATGGTAGTAGATGAATATATGGAAAGACATGTTTTTAATCTGGAGTCAGGGAAGGTTGTCTTAAACGCAACACAAACATGAAGAAACTGTAGAAGAAATGACAGCAAAGTTAAAGCCAGGGGAACATATTAGCAAAATGCTTGACCAAAAAAAAAAACAGGAAAGTTTAAGAATCAGTAAAGAAAGTAAGAAGCAACTCAATAGATAATCTAGCGAAGTCTGTGTATAAGAAATACAACTGACCGAGAAGTATGAAAAGATTTCAGAGTCAAAGGACACAAAACAAAAAGATGACGCTTGTTTGCCCATCAGGCTCCCTAGGCAGTGCCAGTGGTAAAGAACCTGCCTGCTAATGCGGGTTTGATCCCTGGGTCAGGAAGATCCCGTGGAGAAGGGCTTGACAACCCACTCCAGGGTTCTTGCCGGCAGAATCACCATGGACAGAGGAGCCTGGTGGGTTCCAGTCCATGGGGTCGCAGGGAGTCGGACATAGATGAAGCAACCGAGCACACAGGCATGCAGCATGCAATCTTAGGATGCTTTGAGAGAAAGGAGTATTCTAGGATTCTGTGGATGTGACTATAAATTGATAACACCTTTTTTTTTTTCTGAGATCAAATTATTAAGGTTTAAAACGTGCATAGCTTATAGTGTAGTAGTTACATTTCTCAGTCTCTGAAACTAAAGATCCATCCACATTCCCCATGAGTCTATACAATATTGAACAGGTGGAAACACCCCAGGTGCCCATCAATCAGAGAATGTCTAAATAAACTAAGGTACATTCTTACTTTGGAAGATACTGCAAGAGTGAAACAAAATAAGGCAAATAAACTGACACAGAGAACTCTCCAAGACGTCAACTATTAAATAGGCAGGTCACAACATATGCTCAGAATTATGAAAAGCAAAACAAGCATAGATATATCTTTTTTTAAAGGAAATTCCCAAACATATACAAGGGGAGAAAGAATGACGAATCCTAGTACCCATCATCTCGCTTCAACAACAAAATATCTTTCTGCATTTATGTATCTCCTTCTCCCTTGCTGCTCTTCAAATTTACCAGCCTTTCTATTCCTTAAACGTGTCACATCCATTCCTGCCCTGGTGCCTTTAAACTAGCTATTCCCCCTGCTTGGAAGTGAGTAAAGTCACCTAGCAGCAGAGCCAGCACTGAAATCTGTGCTCCCCATGACCCAGAGTGGGCACAGCACCCAACCAGAGAGAACCCCTTGCACTGGGTGATCTCAGGGTGGCCATGGCCTCTACTCCATCCCACCTGGGTCCAGCCTGGCTTTTGGAGGCGTTGCTTGTGGTTGACTTTTCTGCTCTTCTTTTACTGTCCAAGATCTTTTACTGTCTTTGTTTTCATAGAGTGGAAAAACCGTGTTGGCCAACTTTCTGACAGAATCTTCTGACATCACTGAATACAACCCAACCCAAGGAGTGAGGTGAGCCCTGAAAAACCCACGTCCCAGAGTCCCTGCTCCTCACTCGCCTCCTGACTTTGATGCCAGTGGCATCCCCAAAGCACAGTGTTTCCTAAGGAGAGGTGCTGCTCTTGTTTTATCTTTAGGATCCTGGAATTCGAGAATCCACAAATTACCAGCAACAACAAAGGCACGGGGTGTGAATTTGAGCTCTGGGATTGTGGCGGCGATCCAAAGTACGTTTCCTTTAGAGCACTGGCTCCATCAAATGATTCAAAAATCAGCTGCCCACCAGGCACCTTGGACTGAGGCCTAGCACCCTTCCTAACATGTGTCTGGTGCTTGATCAATGACTGGTAACATGCATTGCTCTTGAAATGTCAGTGACAGGGTTATGATACAGTGAGAGGTCATCTATCCATGATTAGTTGTTAGACATTATTTTCAAAGTCCATGATTAGAAACTCGAACTGCTGTTTATATGTGGAATCTTACCAAAAAAAAAAAAGTACAAATGAACTTATTTACAAAATAGAATCACATATGTAAAAAAACAAACTTATGGGTAGCAGGTGGGGAAAGAGTGGTGGATAAGTTGAGAGATGGGGATTGACATACCCACACTAAAATGGGGCTTCCCAGGTGGCACTAGTGGTAAAGAACCCTCCTGCCAATGCAGGAGACATAAGAGACTCGGGTTCCATCCCTGAGTCGTGAAGATCCCCCTGGAGGAGGGCACAGCAATCCACTCCACTATTCTTGCCTGGAGAATCCCATGGACAGAGAAACCTGGCGGGTTACAGTCCATAGGGTCGCAAAGAGTCAGACACGACTAAAGCAACTTAACGTGCATATATAAAATAGATCAACTAACAAGGACCTACTGTATTAGCACAGGAAACAATATTCTGTAATGACCTATATGGGAAAAGAATCTAACACAAAGTAGACATATGTATATTTATTACTGATTCACTTCGCTGTACAGCAGAAACTTAACAGTGTAAATTAACTAGACTCTAATAAAACATTAAAAACAAGACACAGAAACCAGAGCCACCTACCTTTCCCCCCATGCAGGTTCGAGTCTTGCTGGCCAGCCCTGATGAAGGACTCTCACGGAGTGGTGATCGTCTTCAATGCCGACATCCCAAGTCACCTGAAGGAAATTGAGATGTGGTATTCCTGCTTCGTGCAGCAGCAGTTCCTACAGAATACTCAGTGTCTGTTAATTGCACACCACAAGCCAGGCTCTGGAAGTGACAAAGAAAACCCAGCTTTGGGTAAGGAGCCAGGAATTCTGGCTTTTGTCTGAAATGCTCTGGGCATTTGTATGTTGCTCTGTGTCTTGGAAGTCAACAGCTCTGGGCAGTTTGTGAGCACCTACTGTGTCCTAGCCATTTGTCTTCCTCACCATGTAAATCAGAATTGCCGGGTTAGTAGATCTACTATACCACCCAGGCCAGGATGCAGACGCTGTAAAAGCAGACAGACACTAAGAGGGGGAAAAAACTTGGTTTTAACCCCTCATCCATACTATTGGGGACACTCTTTCCTGACTTGCCTTTAAGCTCCAATCTGCATGTGACAGACCATTAGAGAGGGTGTCAAAGTAATCATGGAAAACAACTCAGAAAATTCAGAAATACCTTCCTCTCTGGTACAAGAACCAAGAGGGCCTGAAAGTGGCTTGCAGAGCTGTGAGCCTTTTGCTGGGGGTAGTGAAACCTTTCTCTGTGAAATTGTGTCACAGAGGCCCCACTTTATTTTTGAACTTGGGAAAGTTAAATAAATTAGCTCCTGGAAGACTTAGGTCCTTTGGAGCTAGAAATAGCCCCTCATTTAAAGCTCATGGCCTAGGGACTTCCCTGGTGGTCCAGTGGCTAAAGACTCCATGCTCCCAATGCAGAGGGCCCAGGTTCGATGCCTGGTCAGGGAACTAGAGATCCCACATGCCGCAAGGAAGATCAAAGATCCCCCACGCTGCAACTAAGACCTGGTGCAGCTAAATAATGTAATTCATTTTTTAAAAGTTTATGCCTAATTACATTATTTTCCTTTTTAAGCACCACCCTTGAACAAGCTGAAGCTGGTACACTCAAATCTTGAGGATGACCCAGAAGAGATCAGGATGGAATTCATAAAGTATTTAAGAAGCATAATCAACTCAGTGTCCGAGAGCAGAGACCGGGAAGAGATGTCCATTATTACCTGACCAGCCTCCATCTGGAAGCTTCCACATCCCAGATGAAGTTAATGTCAGTGCAGAGCCTGAAGTCCATCCACCTAAGAAGTTTCTCATTGCCCTTTGGCTGTAGAAGGCATTTTCTTTATTTGCCCCAAAGACCAGTCAGCCAGGGAGTTGACTCCATACTATCTGTTCTCCATCCTTAGTTCAGCTGAGAAAATCCTGTTGTTGAATTCTGATTCCTTTGCCCCAGATCTCTCCAAAGAACTGAAAAACCAAAGTGGTTTTATTTTTTTTTTGCCTCCTTCCGTACGTCACGTCGTTAAAGTTGCGGAATTGTACCTGTCGTAGCCCAGTGGTATAACCATAGTTTAATTAATGTGGATTGGTTTAAATATGATTTTCATTCCTTAATCTGTACAATTTGCCTAGGGACATTTTAGAAAAATACTAGCATTTAACTCCTCCAAGATTGTATTTTTACTTCAATGTCCTTGCTATCTGGACACCATATCACATTGGATGGTAGAATACATATACAGTCTCTAAAAAGTTTTTTATTTTCTTAGGGGAATTTACTTCTTAAATATTACTTTGTGTAATACCGGGGAAAACTAGGTTATACTGTCATAACACCTAATCTATAAAAATGGTTAAAGGAGTTAATGCTCAGAATAACCAAATAATGGCGAGTTTACAGCTTATTTGTACCAGTGAGTGTGTTTTAGTGATCTTGGGAATTACTGTTCTTTCATAATTTTTACTTCCTGAATTGTTTAATATAGCCAACCTAAAAATATATTAAGTAGATCAAAAGTTAAATGTATGTCATTTCAACTCAAAGTAGAAGAAAAGTAGAGACACTTAAAAGAGATGAATAAATATGCTTGGCTGCGTTTCACTCTCACAATGAAGAGGGATAAAATGTGGCCATGTGGGCGGGCTGGTTGAGAGTGGGATTGGCAGATAATGACAGTTCCGGTAAATCAGGGCTTCCCTAGTGGCTCAGTGGTAAAAAAAATTCCACCTACTAATGCAGGAGATGTGGGTTCAATCCCTGGGTTGGGAAGATCCCCTGGAGAAGGAAATGGCAACTCACTTCAGTATTTTTGCCTGGGAAATCCCATGGACAGAGGAGCCTGGCGGGCTACCGTCCATGGGGGTCACAAAAGAGTCAGATGCGACTTAGCGACTAAACAACAACAACAAAACTTGTAGTAAACTGTCTGGATCATCCGTGAGCACATTTTAAGCCTAGCTTGAATTCCTTCTTTCTGGCCTGCTCTCAGTTGGAACTTTTGCAAGGAACACAAACAGGGGATTACACTAACTCAAACTGTAGTTAAATCTTCTTTACATAACAGCTGCAATAATACTAATTGATTGGAACTTCCCTGAAGGTCCAGTGGTTAAGAAGCCACCTCCCGGTGCAGGGGATTGGGTTCGATCCCTGGTCAGGGAACTAAGCCCCAGGTGCCGCCACTCAGCCCCACGTGCATCAGTGAAAGATCTCCAACTAAGAACTGACATGGCCAAAAATAAATACTGTTAAAAAAAGATCCCTTTCTCTGTATCACAGATGTGAGGAGCCACAGATGCGTGAAACAGCCTAGACGTGTGGGAGCATCACTCAGTGGGTGGAGAAGGGAGTGTGTGAGTGAGATGGAATGTGTGGAAGTGGCTGGGTGTGCGTGTGTGGGTGAGCAGACAAGGGGTCAGATGGAGAAGGGATTCTCAGACCCGACCAAGGAGTCAGGCTTTGAGGCACCGCTGAAGGATGCTCACTGCAGATCGATGTAGGACCTCCATGGTAGAAAAGCCCCTCGGGCCACAGCAGGGGGGGCTGCATCAGAAGGCAGACAAGTGTAGAGGTGGCTGCCGTCACTCCAGTGTTTAAGGCCAGCATCTTCAAATCTCTCTCTGCTCCTTCTTCACATCGCCTAATACCCTGTGTACCTGACTCAGATCTCCCTCTACTGCACTCTTATTAGGACACTTATAATTGCATTTAGAGCCCACCCACGAAATCCAGGATAATCTCCCCATCTAAAGATCCTTAATTTAGTCACATCTACAAAGATGCTTTTTCCAAGTAAAGTATCATTTACAGGATATGTGCATTACAGGGAATCACGCCTGATATTTTGGGGGCCATTACTCAGCCTACCACATATGCTGTTCACTGAGGCATTATGGGAGCTTCCTGGTGGCTCAGATGGTAAAGAATTGCCTGCAATGCAGGAGACCCAGGTTCGATCCTTAGGTCTGGAAGATCCCCTGGAGAAGGGCACGGCAACCCACTCCAGTATTCTTATCTGGAAGAATCCTAGGGACAGAGGAGCCTGGCAGACTACAGTCCATGGGGTCACACAGAGTTGGACTCGACTGAGTGACTAAAAAGGAGGCATTATGGAAGAAAAGAAGTAGGTTTGGGGGTAGTGGCAAATGACTAGGTCAAGGTGACTCAGCAAGTGGCTCAGAACTGGACCCCATGCCCCAACTCTTTCCACTGTCCCGTGGACCTGGGCAGACGAGTTCCACAAGTGGACCTGGCCAAGAGTGCCACCCTTTGAGACTGAACTTAGTAAAGCAACAACAACTACAGCAACAACAGCAGGGCAAACAACCACTTTTGAAGCTAAACCATCCAGAAAATGGTTTGCAAGTATGTGGCACATAGATCTAGCATCATATGTCTTGAAATCAATCAAATGACCGAGTAGCATTCTGAAGCTTTCTCAGTTGTAAAGAAAACTACAACTCACATTGTAACTTGAATGTCCATATCTTGAAATTGTTCAGGAATGTTCCTGGAGATCATTATATGTTTTCTGGAATACCAGAAGACCGTTATATCCATAGTGTAGGCTATAACAACAAGTAGAATTTTGCTGGCAACAAAAGAACATGTAAAAGTTAATGAGAGCAGTGCTCCGATATCCATGGAAAAGGTAACTAACTGCATTTGCACCACACAAAACCATTCTGAATTATGGTTCTTTTAGATCTTGACTTCAGCCTTCCCCATCTGATTCCTGAGAAGTACATGAACATCTTGGCCTTGTTGTTCAGTTGCTAAGTCATGTCTGACTCTTAGTGACCTGATGATCTGCAGCATGCCAGGCTTCCTGTCCTTCACTATCTCTTAGAGTTTGCTCAAACTTATGTCCACTGAGCCAGTGATGCCATCTGACTGTCTCTTCCTCTGTCACCCCGTTCTCCTTCTGCCCTCAATCTTTCCCAGCATCATCCTGGCCTTGGCTGAAGCTTTTTCAACAAATGTACTCTTTCCTCAGGCAAGAAATGAAGGCGTCTATGTTTTAAAAACCAAAGAAATTAAATAAATGAGGAAGGAGGAAACTCTCTGCTTTTGAATGTTAAGAAGAGATTACATATTTTTGACTGTGACTTCTAAATTGCTTTATCAGGTAAATAGTTCTCTACGTTTATGATCTGAGCCATTCTTCCTACCAAAGTTAAAAGCTAATGGAAATATTGTGTCTGCCAAGTATTCCCACTTCAAAAGGCAAGTTCTTGGTGCTTTGATGTGAGCAACACCTCATCTGTCATTTTACACCACAGAGTTCATTCCTATCTAGGCTTTCTGATAGCCTTTAAAAGTATGCCTCCTTTCTCTAAAGCCTCAGGCAGATTTACTCCACACTTACAGCTCTTTGGATCAAGCATAAATATAGAACCTAAGACTTTCAAAGTGTTGGGGGTGGGGGGGGGGCGGAGAAACGCATCTATTTTATATTTAGAGTCTTATCAGAGCTTTGTAAAGTAATTTATGTAAGAACCATCGTGTTTTGTTTTTTTTTTTTAATAAATCTTATAAATCTTTCAGGCGACTTTACAAGACTTGGAAAAACATCTAGGGGTGAGTTAATCAGATCATGTAATAAAATATTTTTTTTGGAAAAATAAAACTAATTTTATCAACATATGAAGAATGTGGTTTCTTCTGATAGAAAACTACTCAAATACTTTTTTCAAGAATATTTTGCAAAAAAAAAAAAAATTTTGCAAATCCAGCTACTCTTGGAATTTATCACCCTCTTTGGGAGGGCAACTGTTAAAAGCAAAAAAATTGTGCTCTGCATTAAAAAAAAAAAGTGGCAATGGCTTTAAGATATCAACACAAATGAGATGAACAATCTAAAGAGAACAGTTCTTATCTATGAGGAGACGTGGGAGACAATAGGTGAGAAGTCAAATACATCATGCCAGCCGGTTAACATGGACTTGATTTTATTATCTCTGTAAGAGTCCTAAGCAGAGCAGGGACAATTACTTTGGTGGCCGCGCGGGGAATAGATTTAAGGGTGTGTCTAAAATACAGCACTGAGGGTTGGCACGAAGAGAAAGGGAAAGATTCTGTAAGTATTGGACAGACAAACGTGTTTGAGCGGAAACGGGAGAGGTAGGGAGGACTCAACCCCATATCCTCGACTGTAGGTGCTCCAGGTAGTGGCTGTTAATCAATGACTACATTTCCCATAGCCATTAGGGCAGCACCGCCTACACTTCCCAGAGGGCTGTGCGACGCCCGCGTTGACCCTGAGCATCCGTGGACACTAAAAAGGTAAACAGGAGAGAGTGTACCTTATGTTGCTTTATAACCAGTTTTCCCATCCTCCTCATTTCTTTTGTCCTTCTCTGTCTTCAGCTCCTCTGTCCACGGACTTAAGGGCCCCAAATACCCCCGGACCGGTCTCCTTGACAACTCCTTGTTATCTTTTCGGAGGCCCGCGACCGGAAGCGGGGTGTGCCCGGAGACTCCTGGGAAATGTAGTTCAGCCTCCCGACGGCCCCGGCCCAGTCGAATGGCTCGGCCTCCTCCGGCACCAGAACCAAGGGGCGAGGGCGCGTGACCGGCCCGTTCGGAAGCCACGGAGAGTGGAGGCTCATCTGCACACGATCACCCGCAGGCCCAGACCCCCGACGGTTGGTGAACCGACGAGCCCAGCCTGTCTCCGTGGTAACCGGCTGGCCGCAGAGAACTGTGGGAAGTGTAGTTGGGCAGGGCCGGCCAGTACTCAAGGTCACAAGGGTTGCTGTTATACCGCTGGCCACCGCGGGCAGAACGATTTTGCGGCATCCGGGCGACGTCGTCCCGCCGTCACCTTGGCCTCTGATCACCCAGGAAGGTGGGCGGCCGCCCCCTGGGAATAAGTTTGGTTGACATTTGCGGAGACTCACACAGTGGATCATAGTGATGAGAGGGGGGATCCGAGTGGATCAGATTGGAGCCTTTAGAGACAGCATCTAGTCCAAATCTCTTTATTGTTAGAGAAGGGGGTACCCAAGTCCAGAGAGTGTCAAGTGATTTGCCCCGGATCTGCTCATGCCTTTATTTCCAGCACAAAGCACAGTGCCTGGCACAGAATTGGCGCTCGAGCGTCTGTTAAGTATCACTTCGTACTAAGGACAAACTGCTGAAATACTTCAACAAATTACAAGATAAAAATGGAAAAAAAAAAGTTTTAAGAGGGAAGTGAACCTGAAGAGACCGTCAACTAAATGCAACCTGTAGACCTGATTTGGGTCATGATTCTAACAACCAATTGAAGATTTTTTTTTTTTAATCAAGGAAATGTGAACATGGATGATATTAAGGAATTACTGTTCAAAATTTTTAGTTGTGATAATGCTATTGGGGTTTATGCTTTACAAAGAAAAAGCGTTTTGAAGACACACACTGCAGATCTTATGGGTGAAATGATGCCTGAGGTTTCCTTGAAAACATCAAATGTGGTGGGATAGGGGAGAGTAGACGAAAGGAGATTGGCATGATTACTTTCCTCCCAGCTCAGTTGGTAAAGAATCTTCCTGGAATGCAGGAGACCGGGGTTCAATTCCTGGGTTGGGAAGATCCCCTGGAGAAGGAAGTGGCTACCCACCCCAATATTCTTGCCTGGAGGATTCCATGGACAGAGGAGCCTCGAAGGCTCTATGTAGTCCACGGGATCGCAAGAGGCGGATGTGACTTTGAGACTAAATCACCATATAATTACTGGAGATGGAGATAGGTCCGGGAGATTACTATTCTGTTATCATATATATTCCCCAAAACAGCAGGTGTAATTTAATTTGAATCTACTAGAGATACATACTGAGTTATATATCAGGGGGAAAAAAGATATACTGTCTAAGATTTATTTTTAAAATACTCCATTGGGACTTCCCTATGGAGTTCCCTACTTCCCTGGTCCAGTAGCTAAAACCAGGATCCCAATGCCAGGGGCTCAAGTTCAATCCCTGGTCAGGGAAGTAGATCCCTAAGTTCGAAGCCGCAACTAAAACAAATCTCTCATGCTGCAATCAAGATCAAAGATCCTGTGTACTGAAGCTAAGACCCAGTGCAGCCAAATAAATACTGAAAGGGAAAAAAAAAATACTACACACACACAAAAGTATGGTGGGGCGAGCTAGAAACAGGAACGGCAGGAAATGAATAGCTACGGAGGTCGGGTGATGGGAACATGAGAGTTTGTTGTAATATTGTACAATAGTCTACAATATTGTATCTCCCACTAGAAAGTGGGATTGAAATTTTCCATAATCAAGGGACTTTTATTTTTTTTTCAAAAAACTTGTGTATTTCAGAACATTTCTGAAATTAAGCTCATGAAGAGTTTATCTGAAACATAACCCTCCCACGGCGCAAGTTAAGCCTCCTTGCGGACTTCTCCAGTCAAGAATGACGCCAGCAATGGCGGGGTCTGTGTCCTTGGCCTCCGCCCAGATCCGGTCCCATAGACCGGCGTCCGGGGAACCTCCCAGAGGGGAGGCTGAGCAGCTGGCCTGCGCCAGAGAAGAGTCTGGAGGAGGAGAGACGAGAGAGGAGCCGGGAAGGTGACCAGAGAGAGCAGAACTGCCAGCCAGGTGAGCTCCTTGCCCCGGGCGGGAAAAGGCATCCTAGCAGAGACCCCGTGGATGGAACAGGCGTGGCAGACCCAGCCCTCATCCTGCGTCGGAGCTCACACAGCAGAGAATCCTCTAGGGTGAGCCTGCGGAATATGCGCCCGGGTCACCCAGAACCCGGCGGTCGCGGCCACTGAGAGACCAGACTGGGAGGGTGCGACCCTGACGGAAGAAGGGCAAGCGCGCGAGACAGACAGAGGGGCAGGCGCCCGGAGCCCAGGTCTCTGTCAGCCGAAGGGCTCAGCCAGACAGAAACGCCCGGGCGGGCAGCCCCCAGGCAGCCTGATCCCCGCGTGGCTCTGTGAGCAGCCACGCTGGCGCTCTGCAGCTGCGGGAAGACACGGGGCTGCCGGGGCGGTGGCTCATCCCCGGGCCACGCGCTCTCACACCGGCCACCTGGCCTCCACTTCAGCCCCCCTCTAGGGGCACTTTTCTGTCACTTCTGCTCTTTTAAAAACAATAAAATACTTCCCCCCCCTCTTATCAACAAAAGTAGCACACGTCCAAGTTTTAAAATACATATAAAGAACATTGAAAATGTTTAGTCACGTATTCCAGAATCACTGGTAACGCTGTCTTTTTTTATGCTTAGAAAGTGCTGGAAAGACACTCAGCGTTACCAGTGATTTTAAGCATATATATACACACACACACACACATTTTATCCACCGTTCATGTTTCTCATTTAAAAACAAAACTAAAACAAACAAAGGTTTCGGGTGGGAAACGTCCCGGAGTCCCCAGCTCTGTGCCGCCGCCGCGGCCTCGCTTCCGGGCTTCTCCAGGGAGAGCCTGGAGCCGGGCCTGTACGGGAACACGGGTGCAGTACCCGCTTCGGCCGCAAGAGGGGAGTGCCCACCCACGCACGTCTGCCCGGAAGATCCGCGGGACTCTCAGGTCCGCCCTTCACGCACCAAAGGTTTCCTGCTTGGGATCAAGGCACCAGCACTTAGTTCGAGCTTTATCGCTCACTCTGCTAGCGGCGCCTCTTGGAAAACCTCCTTAGTTAGTGAAGAAAAAGAACAGAACCCACACTCGGATTATATCTGCCCTGGTGTGAAGAATCCTTGGACGGCCCTCTCCGGGCTTCCAGGGAAGGGATGGACTACGACTGCGCAGGGCCTCCCCAAGATTAACATTCTCCGCGGCTTCCTATTGTTCGCTGGGTCCAGTCTGAGCTCCTTCTAGGAGCCCCAGGTGACCTGGTCCCTCCTCGCCTCCCTCCCTCCACGTCAGCTCCTTCCCGTTCTGCTCCTCATCCACAGACGTGCCATCGTGGTTCTCTGGAAGGCGCTCCCCAGCACACACCAGGTTGATACTAATCTTTCAGGTCTTCCCTGACATGTCGCCCCTTCCCAGAAGTCAGCCTCAGTGATGCGAGTCAGGGTCAGGATTCTCCTCTGGGCTCCCCCTTTCAAAACACGTAGCCTGTTGGATCGCCTGCCTCCTTCTAGAAGTCCCATGAGGGCAGGAGTGTGTCCATCTTGCTCACTCACGTCCCTAGCACCGAAGCACAGCACCTGGCCTTCCACAGGGCTCAGTGAAGATTTTCCTAATGGATGAACAGAGGAATGAATGAATGAATGTCTTTCCCTGCCCACTAGAGTCTACAAAAGCCAATGCCCTTCCCTGCTTCCATCCCCTTTCTTCCTGTTTCACCAGGGGCCTCTCACTGTCCCCGAAGCCTCTGGAAACATTACCCAAGGAACAGTGGTGCTAAAGGACCCTTTCTCTCCCAGTGCTGATGGACAGACAGTGGCATCAGGAGTGAGACAGACCTAGACCGGCTGTGCTGCTTGCTAGCCGTGCACTCATCTTCTTTTCTTTATGAAGGAGAGATCACGGGTCACACAGGCAGGGGTCTCAGAGAAGCACATGCTAGCCTGTCATGTGGGAGGCAGTCATTAGATTAGAGTTCTTCCTCCTCCCTTCCCAGCACTCTCTCCAAAGCCCCATCTGAAACCCAGGACACAGACACCCCTGCAATCTCGAAGGTGCTCCTGTTTCCCTGACTCCCCTGTTTCCCTGGGTAGCCCGAGCCCCTTGTGACTGACACTTCCTTTCTCCCCGGTACTTGATCCCAGCACAATGTGCCAGCTACAGAGTTGAGCAGATGCTCGAAAGATATTTGTTGAATGGATGGATGAATGGTCCAGGCACAGCAGCATCCCTGGGGCACATTCGTGAGTTGTCAAAGGTAATGGTGGTCACCGGCCTCTTCGTGGGCAGGTGGGCTCCTGTCCCCTGGGCAACACCAGAGTCAGGTGGGCACATGGCAGACACAAGGCCAGGACTTACCTGCCTGCCAGGAGAGGAAGGAGGCGGGACTGTGAAGAAACAGGGACACGGAGGCCCTGTGGGAAAGTATACTGCTGAGAGCTCGGGAGCCCCTCTGCTTGTCTCCTGCAAGGCACCAGGTCCCCCAAGGGCAAGTGGACCCCAGGGGCGCAGGTGCATGACCTTGTCACTGAACCGGCCTCCCCCACAGGGTGTTTGCGTTCCTTCCAGGCCAAGCCTGTCATTACATTACAGGTGCTAAAAGTGCAAGTTCCAACAAAATCGTTATCTAAATTGGCCCTTTAACCGTGTTTTTCTCATCCATGACCATTGTATATGACTTGTGCTCTGAGGTACCGCTGACTGTCCTCCCACAGGCCCTGCATGGCCTCCCAGTTTCCCGTGGCCAGAGGACTCCCAACAGTCCCCCTCATTCACGATGAGCATCTGCCCTCTCTCCAGCCCAAACCCTCAGGTGATGAATGAGGGCTGATTTCTCCTGAACTGATCATCACCCCCGATTCATCACCTGTGAAAGACTTAGCTCCAGAATGGCTCAGCCAAGTTGTGCTTTCTCCAAGCACCACTGCGCTAATGAAGATACAGGTTTTTCGGTGTGTTGAGCTCCAGGCTGAGCTCTTTGTTAACGCGCTCTCTGCGTCCGTGTCCCCGGCCCTCCCCTGTGAGTTCTCTGATAGCTGCTGCCGCTATCAGGAGGATATCAGGAGGATTTTCCTACATTGACGCCATTCATGGGGGAATCTCTCTACTATGAGTTACAAGATGAATGGAAATTTCCCCGTATTCAGAATGTTCAAAGATTTCCTCTGCCGTGTGAATTCGTTGATCTTCTGCCAGAACCGGATGCAAGTGTTTGGCCACGTGCGTTGTGCCAGGCTTAGAGCCTGTGCTGTCCCAGCGTGCTACCTTCCACGTAAAGGCTCCAGATCCTGGCCTCTGAGGGGCGGCGGTCCCCCCAGGACAGCCCCCACCATGCTGCTCTGGCAGAATGGCTGGGCATAGGTACCGACAGCATGCCGTGGCCCTGGCCTCACACTGTGATGACGCCGTCGGAAATGAGTGTCACAGGCGCCTCTGTCCAGGCAAACCAAGCTCTGTAGCTCTGTGCCTGCCCGAACCCTTGAGCTTCTGGCTGTTGGGACTACAGCAGCCAGAAGCGGAACCACTGGTTGGATCCTCTGTTTCCCAAGGGGGCAACAGAGGAACTGTGTTTGGAGCACCCGCAGTTCTGGCTCACAAGAAGCTCCCCCAGGAGTGCTTCCCACCCGCCAAACACGGCCCAAAGCCCACCTCTTCCATGAAGGCTTCCTGGGACCCTGCGGGCCTGCAGTTGGGCTCCCAGCCTGCACTCTGCTCCCTGGGTCCACTGGGCCCTGAGCCCCCTCTCGCACCCAGCCAAGCTCTGGTCCTTCCTGACCTTCTCATGCATTTTCCTCCTCAGACAGATGTAACGCTCTTTGAGGAAGAACCACCTGGTGTCCCTTGGACTCACAGCACCTCTGAGCGCCGAGGGACTCGGGATGACATGGGGATCGGTGACTGCATACAGATGTGGACGCAGACAGATGGATTTGTGGCTCAGGGTCATCACGCATGGAGACACGCTTACCCTTGACTGAAGACATGACCTGCCTTCTCGGGGATGGTTGTCGGCCATTCTCTTCCAGGTCACACAGGAGGAAGGTGATCTCATCTTTATTGCCACCTCTTCCCCCACCCCTGACCTGAAAGCCGGATTAGCCCTGATGTCCATAAGGTGGCAAGAGGCCCTTGGCTCTGTCTGGGGGGCACTGCTGGCTGTCATGCATTGTGCTAACCTTGGGAGTGACCTTGATTGGGGAGGTGGGAGCGAGCAAGAAATTAGTATGTTGGAGAGCTGGCCAGTGTCCCGGTTAAGGATGGCTGGCTCAGGGTCCACCCCAAAGATGAACTTGGAGCTCTTTGAGAGCAAGACCTATGTCTGAAGCATCTCTGTATCCACAGTGCCTCAATTAACACCTGGCACATAGCAGGTATTCATCCTACACTGGGAGCTCCTGTAGCTGCCAGCAACCAGAGTTACCAGCAAGGAGGTAACAGGAGAACAGATGTTAGTGACTGTGCTGAAAGGCCCCACCTGTGCTGGCCGCCACAAATGCATCATCCTTTACCATACAGCAGAGTGCTGGGTCCCAAGCACAAAATGCAGGAACATCTCTTGTCTTTTGTTAACTGCAAAATCTATATCTCCCCTACAAACAAAACAAAACAGGGACAGACTCTGTGTATATACCCATGGATTTATATAGCCATGGCATGCTCTTCTAAATGTCTTTAAAATCTAGTAAGTTGAAATGTTGGAAAAAAAAAAAAGAAAGAAATGTTGGAGGTGGGGATGATAAGAGCTCATCCCTGGATCTGGCATTGCCCATCAGAACTGCATTTCCTAGAAAGCCAAGGCTACTCTGAACAGCTAAAACTTGAACCCAGGAAAGCCTTGAACCCGGTGAGTAGATCATGGAGCATTAAGGAGAAAAAGGGAGGGTCCTTGCCAGCCGCCTCTTTGCCTGCTTACCAGAGGCTCATGAGCTCACATGGCGGTCTCTGGGCAGGAGGACAGCTGGTCACTGGGTTTCTGTGCTCCTGTCCTGGGAGTTTAGAGCTGGAACGTCACTTGTAGTAGATCTCCAGGTACCTTCTCAAATCACTCCTCGAAGGGCCTATCCAAGGAACAAATAGAGTAGGAAGTGATAGAAACAGGCAGAGGAGATTGAAATGGCTAAACCAGGAAAGGCTGTTGGGAGAGAGGGGACTGGAGGGACAGGGACTGTAAGCTCTGCGAAGTTAGAGACTCTTAACTCCTGGGGGGCTGGGTGAAAGCTGTTCCAAAGGCCTCTAGGAAATCACTCCAGAAACTAGAAGGAAAGCTGCCAAGTGCTTCATGGGGTGCAAAGTCACCCCCAGCCCCACTCACCACCATGGGGAGCCCCAGTGGAGCTCCCCATCACAACCGCCATGCCACGCAAGCTCTTTTGATGGGCGCCAGCCAGCAGGCTCTCCCCTGGGGCTCGGTCCCACCCGAGCGTGTGATAGGCTCTGAGGATAGCAGTCACTCACATGCGTTTAGTGCTTTACACACAGGGTCTCATTTAATCCTCCCAACAACCCTTGAAATGGGATGTTTCTATCCTCACGTTACAGATGAAGAAACTAAGACCTAGAGAGGTGCAGTAACCTGCCCAAGGTCATGCAACTAAGAAGTAGAGGAGCGAGGCTTAGAATCCAGGTCTTGCACGTTCTCATTTTCGTGTTGTGGGATTTTTCATTCCCTTTGCTGGAATCACCAGTCCATTTTCTGTCCCCGTTACGTGGTATCATGTTGAGTTAGTCCTGCTTCTCCAGTCTCTTCCGTGGCCTGCCAAAGCCACAAAATGGTTTCTAAGCTCTAAGTCCAGCGGGTACCAGATGCTGCCAGGCCATGTTCATGAGAAAGCCTGGCTTCCTACTAGCAGTCCCTGGAATTTCTCCTGTGGGAATTCAGGGGATATATCAGGGCAGACTCAAGAAACTGATTATGCTGTTCATCCTGTAAGTCAAGTAACGGGCCCTCAGAGTGAGTGACCTGAACAACTGGATCCGGCTGGGCAGGTTCAGCTGCAGCCACAGGTCAAGGGCCTTGATTCGTCTGCCAACCAGATTCCTCTCTTCTCCACTTGGCATCCACTGAAACGGGACTGAAATGTGCAAAATGGCCTTTCCCTCCTGTGTCCACCTGGCGTCTCTCTAGTAGACTGGCCTAATTTCCTTATCTTGTTGCCCTGGACTCCAGGAGCCACTGTCCACGCCCTCTGTCCTGCCTCACCCCCATACCCCGCCTCGTTCAGCCCAGGTGGCTGTGTTGCATCACATGACTCTGCCCCTGTCCTCCTCGCACCACACACACTAACACACACACTCACACACTCACACACTCACACACTCATGCAGGTCAGTGACCCAGGATCTGTGTGCACTGGTCAACAACTTTTGAAGTCCCCTGACTCAGTGAGTATTTGGAAAGCCAGTCAGGCCAGGCAGATTCCTCTTTTAGGAAATTTGAACCTCCAAATCAGACTGCATAGGCAGTGTGTGACAGGAGGTCGTGAGGGCAAGTAGGGCCAGGTGCTGGCCGGAAGTACACTGAGGTGGAAGGTTGGAGATTGAAGAAAGGCAAAACAATACTTAATGAGGGGGATTAATGAGGGGGATTAATGAGCCTCTTTGGGAAGAAGATAAAGGATGTCCAGATTAGAGGCAGGGCTCCAGGAAAGGCAGAGGGAGGAGCCAGCCCTAGAGCCTCCCCAGGGCTCACCAGGCCCGCCTCGCCCATGTGTATCATTGCAGCAGGCTCCTTACTTAGTCCGTCTGCTGTCTGGCTCAGAATCAGGCATGCGACAGTTCTGCATGGGGAAGTGGCTGGGGGACCTTCTGGGAAGATTTTGCTTCCTGATTAAAGGAGAATGAAGAGGCCCATCTCTTCCTCCTGCTTTGAACAGGGATGTTTGAGATGTGATACTTGGAGCTGTGGCAGCCATTTTGAGACCAGGTGTCAACAAGACCAAGGGAGAAAGCCAACATACCAAGGTTGGCCGAGTAGACAGAAAAAAAAAGCCTAGGACCTCGATGATACCATTGAGCCACCACACCTATCCTGGAACCACCTACTTCCAGTCTTACTGATCTTTAAATTGAACTGTCTTTATTTTCTAAGCACATTTCTGCTGTTTGCAGCCTAAGGCATTCTTAGCCAATACAGCACTCCTCTGAACTTCCCTGTTATCAACTCCTCAGAGGCCCCACGGCTCTTGGTACAGCTCCAAATGGAAAATCAGCCCAATTTAGCCACTGGAAACCTTAACTGTATGGTAGGAAATACAGGTCCAGATCGGTCATAGCCCACACAGGCAAGCAGCTTGAGCACTTAGTTCTGACTCCCGGAGCCTACAGGGCACTGATGAGGCAAGATAGATTCAGGACAGTTTCAGATGTACGAGACTGGGTCTTCTAAATTGCGGCTCCATGAGGAACTTTAGAACAAATCAGCGTGGAAGGGGTGGGGGGTGGGTGTTAGTCTCTGGATGCAGAGCCTGAGCATGGGTCAGAAGGCCGTGGCAGAAGGAGAAGCAAGCTGGAATTGGCAAATGGTGAGTTAGGCTGGATGAGTTCTAGAGGAGGCCATTGTCACACGGCAGGGTCTTACAAGCCCCATGTACGAGATGAAGGCAATGTATGGCAGCCAGAACTTAACTGATGGAAAACCAGGCTTTTTCGTTACTCTCCAGCCATGAATGTGACATTTCATGTCCTTTGGGGAATAGGGTGCCCTGACTTGAGGCCACTTCCCGCATTCTCCATGCTTTGTCCCTTTGCCACCTGGCCCTTTTTTCTTTACCGTTCCTTCCTATCTTCTCTAAGCAAAGTCAGGAGCCAGAAACGCACAGGACCTGAATCGCTTCTTCCTCAACTGCGGAATGGATATAGTGGCAAGCAAGGATGTCTCCTAGAAGACTTAGAATCCCAGGCTAGGGATAAGGAGTTTGGTTGGGAGGTGAGAACACAGTTGGTGGATAAGGACTAGATGAAGCTTTCTTCTGATCCAATTTTCATCACATAATGTGGTTTTTGTGTTGCTTCAACACAAGAAAATGTGCCTGACCCTTGCTTCATGAAAAGAGGAATTGAACTTAGGAACTCTAGTCCTTCCTCGTTAAATGTCTAGTTTTAAATTTAAAACAAAGTGAAACTGGTATCCTCCTCATGTAGCTGTCAGATGCATTCAGAACTGGAGAAAAATTGGCCCCCCTCTTTTCCCATCTCAAAATAGTCTTCAGCAGTAAAGAGACATGGCCCATAGAAGTTCCTCAAGCTAATGGGGGCCAAACACGAATGTGTTGCAGTTAGGGTAGAATTTGCAACCTCCAGATCCTGCCAGTAAGCCTCTCCCCCTCAACACAGTCCTTTCACACCCTCCACAATTTATGGAGTCCTGCCCTTGAAGGTTCAGACTAGGCTGACTCTGCTGTTTGCCTGTTGTATTACTTCATTCATTCAGCAAAACTGGACTGAATACCTACCAGGAATAGAAGTTAAGCTTATAAAAGCAAGTTTATAAGCTTATCTTCCTAAGTCATTAGATATTCTAGAATATATATATATATATATATATATATATATATATATATATATATATATATATTCTATGAGACAGAGAATGAAATGGAAATCTTGGTTGCAGTGGAAGAATCTATAAAGTTTAAGCCCCTACTTAATGCAATTCACACTTTAATTGACAATAAACCCTGAGCCCCCTCCCCTCCTCAAAGTTTCCCCATTTATCACTGAAGATTCTCTGAAATCCAATAAGGAAAAGACCTGAAGGCTTTTCCTCATTCTCCACAATCAAGGCTTTTCTCCAGAATGAATTAGTCTGATTACTGGCTAAAAGCTCTCCCACAGTGTTTCCAATGAGAGTGTTTCTTTCCTGTAAATTCTCCAAAGATGCTGCTCCACGTTGGTTCCACTCACAGGCTGCTCTCCAGCGTGAATGAGTTCGGTGTACCCCACACTTCCCCCGGACGGCCTCCCCCATTCAGCACACACGCCTGCTTCCTGTCCCCGTGAATCAGCCCACATTGTCCGAGGCTGGAACTCTGATTGAAGGCTCTTCCTCATCCCTTCTGCTCCCAGGGCTCCTATCCACTCTGAAATCCCAGATGTCTAATTAGCTCTGAGCACCATCTAAAAGCGCTTTCACAGCTATGACGCGCGTGTGGTTTTTCTCCAGTGTGAATTCTCTGACGTTGAATGAGCTTTGCTTTTCCCGAAAGCCCTTACAGTTACGGCATTTGTAGAGTTTCTGCTGCATGTGAATTGGCTGGTATCAGGATGCTGCTGGATGCCTCCTGCAAAAGGATTCTCTCCAAGATGAACATCAGAATGTTGGGGAGGTGGGGTGCCCGGAGAAAAGTGGCCTCTGTTTCATAAGAAAGATGTTTTCTCCAAGATGTGTACTGTAATAAGGAATAAATTCTGAATTCTGTTCTAAGATTTGGCCATACCTATCTTACTTGTGGGTTTTCTCACCTCTTAAAAAATGTGTATGAATTGCAAATGTTCTCATGTTCATCCCATTCATGGGACGGGTTCTCCAGGATGTCTTTGTATTCACAGATACCTCAAAACTCAGACCTGGTCAGTGTCCTCCAGGGACCATCTCGATGCAACTGCCTATGAATCTATGACTGCAGAAAGTTCCCATTCAGGCCAGGTGTTCCTGGTCCCAGGCTCACATTATGAAATTAGAGGAAATGTAAATTTCAGCCATTGTCTCTTAAAATATAAAATTTCTTGGACTGAGAATGAAAGATTTGAGCAGGTCGATGATAAGAGTGCCTTTGGGGTGAATATATAAAGTGATGGGTGTGACAGACTGCTGGTCTCTGATATTCTTTTGTTCTTTCTTAACCCAATTTTGGCCACAGTGAGAAGGTGCCCATTAAAAATGCTCACCTTCTCTAGTGACTGGGAGAGAGCATGTGGGCAGTTGCAAGGAGCCACTGTTTCTTGATCTGGGTGCTGGTCATACAGGCGTGTTCACCTAGTGAAAATCCCGAAGTGGTATACTTTTTAGTATAAAATTAA